AATTTAGAATGAAGGTGCAATGCTGGTTAAATTACGCTTCAAGGATTACTGATTGGTCCAGCCAGCATATTTTAAAATAGAAACACGATTTTTCGAAGTAAATCTATTGTGGATAATTTATTGAAAAGTAACTACATTTGCCGCATACCTTAGGGTTAAATGCAAGCGCCAAATTAAATTCAGCTTGATACAGCGTAGATGGCTTTAATTTAAATTAAATAAATATCAAGAGAAAATATTGCATCTTCAATATATAACGAGATTAACAGAGAGACGCAAAAGTTTTCAACTATTATCACTATTAGAAAAGGCAATCCTAAGCTATTGTCATATAAAATTTACTCTACGATGATAAAAAAAGTAGAAGGACCAAGTAGGTGATCACAGAAATACTTTGAAATAAAATAATAATTTTGATGTTATTATGGAGCGCATATCTTTACTAATAAGTTGTCCATTTTGGTAGTCTAAGTGACGAGAGGATAGCAACATGATTTAAATACAAAAGAGTGATAAATTTAAAATTCTACTATGAGGTGTATTCACCCTAGTTAGTTTAAAGTTATTAGGGGACTGATAGATGAATTTTCCCCCAATGATATGAATAGGCATAATGTTTCCATTGAATTTCATATAGCATTGCTTTTTTAAAAAAGTTAGTCTCATCCAGGGTGGACAGTAGTTTTGATCTCGTCTAGGTCTTAACAACACCCCAGCCTGATTCGAACCATGGCAGTAAAGGGCATAATCTCGACACGATAAGCACCATGTCAAACTCACAGCAGCCTTGGATAACAGGGTAGATGTGTATTACAAATAAGGCCAGGCATTTTCCCCTATCACATTCTGTGGTGGGATTTTCGATGAAGCAAAGTTTTATTTGCTAAATAAATCGACAACGTCACTTATTTTTCGTTATAAGTAGGCTTTCATAACTATTAATAGATCATATATGATCAAATTGGTCACATATAGATCACATTGATATTCATCCGATTTCGTTTAGTGATGAGGGAAATTTTCCAGTCCCCAACCAGTTAACTACCAGTTCCCTTGTCACCATATTCGAAATATAATGAGTACACCTTGTATATATGTATATACATAAATATATATATATATAGACAGAGAGAGACATATACATATATATATATATATATATATAACAAAAATAATGAAAAGGCTATAGTGGCATGCACTACGATGGTAAAAATAACTTTTAAGGAAAGACAAATAGCGATGAATACCAGAGATAAATGAGCCAAGTAAAACACCCATTCCTTTGCAGAATTGCATCAACCCAATCGCCTGATGCAGGGCTGCTGGTCGATCCTCGCAGATGTCAGCGGCTATTACGGTTTGCTGGGAGATATAAATGGCAAGTGTGATGCCACGTAGTGCCATGAGAATAGCAAGTGTGATGAAAGATCCGGAGTTTGCAGCAGCAAGTGCCATCACAACGATGCTGCAGAAGATTAGGTCATAGGTCCAAATAAGGCCGCGCCATGGTCGAATTGATGGCATATCGAAAGCGGGCCCAGTGCACAGACGAGCGACGACCTGGAAGCCACCCTCAATGGAAAGCAGCAAGACGGAGAGCTTCATTGGAATCTATGAACACAGGAAGCACTTATGTACTACTAAATTGCGACACAGACTGGTAAAGTTGGAGTGGAAGCGTGGATTCAAATCTTTTTTAATGGACTAATAAATCTAATAGCGATTTTGAAGGTGTTGCAATTTGCATATAAAGTAGGAGGTTATTATTTCTATTGTTAAATGAAATGGATTTATGAAAATAACATACATTAAAAAAAATTGCAGCAACAATATTAGATACACTCAGTAATCTGTCTAAATGTTTGCAATGAACACAATAAAGTAACATAGGCAATGATACTAATAGTGATTTGATTTTTTTAAATGGCTCTTTTCGAGAAACCTGAATAGTCTAAAGCACCAAAGATAGCAGGAGCAAAGTTGAGAGTAAAAAATCAATGAAAACTTTTGCGGATGTGAACAAGTAAATTCATTATAGATTAATTTAAAGAAACGGAAGCAAGGCGATATATAGTGTTAAAAGTATATAATACGTTATTAAATTGGAATGTTTGGTAAACATAAGGAAAGGAATTTATTAAATGTAAATTACATATGAGCTTGTTAAGATCTGCTTGTAATTAAAGTATGTCAAAGAAATAAAGATATGTTAGAGGAAATTTAAAAGTAAAAATTAATCAAGTGATAAAAGTCAAATAGAACATGAGTTTAGACAAGGAAGAAAGCAGGATGAAAGTCAATCAAATGTAAAATAAGTATGGTAGTAAAAATAAACATCGAGAATATAATAGAAAACAAATTAATGAATGAGATGTATTATTTATAACGCTTATTTTGACCACATATAGGGAGCTAAGTTAAAAAAATGAAGAATAGAATAGTTTGAAGAAATAAAAAAGTAAGTATGCTGAGCAAAAAATCACTACTAAAATAGAATGGAAATAAAACCTATAAACCTTTAAATATAGCAAAGATATCTTGAAAATCGATTGTTCCTTATAAATGAATGTCAGAACCTAAATCATAATATCAGGATGCTATTATATAAAAATTTGAAAGTTGTGAAAAAATGCAATTATCAAAGATGCAAGATTTAAAATTGACTATATAAAATAAATATTATCGGTATCCTTTAAAATGCATGATACATCAGAAGACATGTGATACGTTTGTAGATGAAGTTACCAGCATTCCCAATCCTCACTTTCAACCGTTCAATCCCACTCTTAATTTGTTGAAGTATTTCACGCCACTGTGGGAGATAGGTTGAACATTTAAATGTTATCACATCCTCCGATTTTTTATTTTTCTGTTCGATTCTCTTTTATATTTATCCTTTAGCGCAAAAGGCAACTTAATCAAATTTTAACGGTGTTTTCCTTGCGACAATTGGAGCGTTCACTGCAGCTGAACAGTGTTTTCAACTAGTTCAGTTGGTCCTTCCTTATAGGACTATGCAACCGACTCCACATGCATAATCACTCCATCGACAAACTAGTGCTGAGTCTTTAGCTATAGTCTAATTTATTCTTAGGAGGCTATAGAATCAGGCGAGCTTTTGGAGCCGAGACATCAAAAGCCTTGATAGCATCAACCTAGCAGAATTGTATTGGGTGAGAATGATCACTTGCTATTAAATGGGTCGACTAAAGATCAATTCTAAACCTCAAGCAGAAGAATATCGATAGCGTCTCCAAGTGGATCAGAGATTGTAAGGTGACGGAAGAACAGTCAATAAAAATACCTACACCCTATAATATCTTGTGAGATATTCTATGAGAGGCTTATCGGCTTCAAATGGAAATTGCTGGCCTGCTACCATTGTCAAAAGACAACCAAAACTTATTCGCTAACTTAGGCCGATTAACACGAAAGCTCATCTAGGAAATCAAAGCTGAAGCCGTTGAAAAAACTCTCGCCACACATTGGAATACCAGGTCCAAGAGCCCGATAATTAGTAAAACCGAGGAGGGCAAACAAGTCCAATCAAATTTTTACTACACTTTATCAAAATTTGTTGTGTGCCAACCCACAAACGTTGTGGTTCAACATTGAACCTAACTAAAGCAAGCAGTACAACAACATTTGTGGGTTGGCAAACAAGAGACTAGGGCATGGCAAGTCATAGACTTGGTATTAGAGATAGAAACAGGATAGACTGGGTGGCGATGGGAGCAAGTGGGCTGAAAGTAGGTTTCATAAGAGACGTGGTCCATGGGGCAAAGACCTGACCATGACACTTACTCAGAGGCTTTAGCCTCGAATTAGTCACCCAGACGCATGGGAGGGGTAATAACGTCTCGAGTAGCACAGATGGAGTGGCAGGGGTCGAGTGAAATATGGGAACCAAGAAAAGGGCAGACGGATCTAACGCAGAAAGAGAGAGACTGTGGCAAGACCTAGGGAAGGAGGAATGCATAACAATATGGCAGACTCTGATCAACATTCTCAGCACAAGGATGAAGGGGGGTTAGAAGGCCAGTGTGGAGTTCGGAGGGTTCTCATGAAAGCCGCTCAAAAGGGCACATCGTACCACATTTAATTAAGCAAGTA